GGCAGACCGACTGAAATACACTGCTGAGGGGAGCAGCGGGTGAGATAGCAGAGGTCTGCTGCACCATGTGGGTCAGCTCCCTGGCCAGGGATTGAATTGGTGCTGCTGTTGCTGAGACTTTAACTCCTCCCTTCCAGGGAAGCCCTCCATTGGAAGCTTTTGATAAGAAAATCATTCCTTCCAAAAGATGGCCTACCTACAGGGCCCAGAGTGAGTCTCAGCCTGAGGTGACCTACTGAGGGCCCGCACAGTCCCCCTCACCAGATCTCAGGAACACAGGCCTAAGGCCTGAGGAGCTCGTCTTTCTCTCTCCACAGGTTGCTTTGCCAAAACAGAAAGCTCTCTTGTTTTCTTGGCCTCACCTGGCTTTACTGCACATCATGAAGGTGCACCTGACTTCCTCCCTGGTCTGTGCACACAAGGCTGTCGCCGTCTATGTCCGTGTCCTGTGCTAATGGCGCTGTGCTTATGCTGACCCCTAGTTTATCTGAGGGTCTTTCCTCAGCCAGTAGCTGTGCTCTGTGGCCTTGAATCAGGTTTTACCTGCCACCTGAAATAAGAGAGTTGGCCTGAATGGCTCCTGACCATGGTGTTTTAGGATTTGGTCTGAGGGCAGTGACCCCTTCTACCCCCAAGGTCGTCCCTTGAAAGCCCCATTGAGGTGACCCTCTGCCAGATTCTGGATTCCAGAGTCCTTGTTTCACAAGCACTGAGTCTTCTTGTTCTACTCAGTCCTTCGGGACCCCAAGCCCACTCCACTCACTGCTGGAGATACAGACCATGGGGTGGGAATGAAAACACGCTAGCTTCTGGCCTTTCCCCAGCAGGGGAAGCACCCATTTGGTCTTGTAACAGTGAGCCAAGTGGTGACTATGACTCTCATACAGAATCAAGTGGAACTTAGCATCCTTATCTTTTCTGTTCCTCTTAAATGGTTTTGGACAGCAACAGCTTTCATAATTAAAAAGTAGAGAGCCTTAGGAGGATCAGGAGCAAGTCCTTTAAACTTACGAATTCTCAAGAATTGATTGCTTGTCACGAGACGGACTTATGCAACGCCATGGGAATCTCTCAGGACCTCACCTACCCGTGAGGGAGTCCGGCCCTTCCGGACCGGTTTATAGATCTGCTCCTTCACATCATCCGAAGCCAACTCCAGTAACTAGGAGCATGCAAGGACCCACCATGGCAGCAAAAGGTCAATGTTTTAACCATAAGCCAGATCATTTCATTTGTTCCAGTGCTAGAATATCTCACAATGGCTTTCTATTATCTAAACTTTTTTTTCTGTAAGATTTGTTTGTTTATGCATACAAGAACTGGGGTGTAGGCCAGAGGTGCCGGGTGTGAGAGGATTCACAGGAGACAAAGTGGGGAACAGAAAAGGCAGACTGACAGAAACACATTGCTGAGGGGAGCAGTGGTGAGACAGGAGAGGTCTGCTGCGCCATGTGGGTCACCTCCCTGGCCTGGATGGATCTCATGCTGCAGTGGCTGCAGATAGCCTCAAAGTGCTGGTCTTAACCCCTTGCGTCACCAGGGAGGCCCCCTGTCTGAACTTTTCACCATGCCCTGAGGCCTGAAAGATCTCTAGTCCTCTCTTCAATGCTCTAGCCTTCCAATGTGGGTGCTTCTTTTGTTTTTCAAAGATGTCAAGTTTGTTCCTGCCTTTAGGCCTTTACATTGACTGGTCCCTGAAAAATGAACAATCTGCCCCCTGGGGTGTTAGCGGGGTTAGTTCCCCCCACACCCTACAGGTTTCAGTTCAAATGTCACTTACTTTCTCAAAAAGGCTTTCACTTTCTACTCACCCAATGTTGTCACCCCCTCTCTCCCCACCCCCATTGCTATCACATTATCCTATAATGTTTAACTTAACACATTTGTCACTACACAAAACTGTTCTTTTTATACTTTTCCTTTGTTTTGATGCTATATGGAAATGTGCAAACTTTAAAAGGTACAAGAGGGGCCTCCCTGGTGACTCAGGGGTTAAAGTCTCAGCACTATCAAGTTATCACCAGCCACTGCAGCATGAGTTCGATCCCAGGCTGGGATCTGACCCACATGGCCCAGCAGACCTCTCCTGTCTTGCCCCCTGCTCCCCTCAGCAGTATACTTCAGTGGATATGCCTGTTCTGCTCTCCACTCTGTGTCTGGTGAATTCCCCCACCTCTGGCCTATACCCCAGTTCTTGTATGCATAAGTAAATAATATATATATATATATATATATATATTTTTTTTTTAAAGTACAAGAACAGAAAGTTTGCCTTCCTTCCCTGATTCCCAGCATGTCGTGTGACTTCTCCCCAGAGGCAACAACTATTTCTTAAATATCAATACCCACTTTCTTACATATCTTTCTAGATATTTTTTTAAAACAACAAACATAAATACTCTAACTCTTCTTCACACAAGGTAATATGTACACATGAACACATACATATACTGTTCTCCATCTTGCTCTTTTTACTTACCAAAAACATTGTGAAGATTTTTTTTCCTTATCAGTTAATTACAAATCTGCCCTGTTCCTATCAATTTCTAGTGTTCCATTGTAATCCTATCCGTCTCCCTCAATTAATATAATTAATTCTCTGTTGATGGATATTTAGTTGTATCCATTTTTTTTCCTATTTTACTACTGAAAGTAATGAATGAACAATGTGGCCATGGACAGCTTTGCACTCACACCATTTTACACTTGTGTAGGTATACCTAGAGCTCGTGAAGATAAGCACAGGAGAGAAATTGCTGATTAAAGGGTTTGTGCAAATTGCTGAGCTGAAACCCATGCATTCTATGCATATTTCCTATATGTATTTAGTTATCTGATAGTGCTAAATCATCCCACATAGTGGTCATGCCAATGTGTTTTTAGCTACCAAATTATTCTAGTGTTTTTATTCATTCATTCATTAATTCATTTATACAAGCACTGGGTACAGTCAGAAGCGCGGGAGGGTGAAAGAATTCACCAGAGCCAAAGCAGGGAGCAGATCAGACAGACTGATGAAGAAATACACTGCTGAGGGGAGCAGCAGGCGGCAGGAGAGGTCTGCAAGCCATGTGCGACCCTCGCTGGTGACCAGGGATTGAACCAGTGCTGCAGAGGCTGCGGGCAGCTTCTCAGCCCAGCGCTCAACCGCTGCGCCACTGGGGAGGCCTTATTTTAGTGTTTTTGATGCTTGTTTATTGCCTTGTTTCTCTCCTCAACATGACAGAAATCTCCATTCTCCTTCCCCTAGGATTGTTTTCTCCATCAGCAGCATTTGGTTTTCAAGAACCTGTGAAATATTTGAAACCTGAACACATTTTCAATGTTTGTTACAAAATATAAGAAAACTAAAAAATTAATATTTTGTTAAATGTACACAAATTTTACAATGTCAACTATTAATTGCAACTCAATTCAACTATATATAGTTGCTTTTAAATTTTATTTAATGTGGGGTGTTGCCACATTTTAATGTTTGATATGGATGAGACCTCTAAAATTGCAATCATAAAAGTTTTAAAACAGTCCTCTCTCTTTCTTGAAGATCTCGTAAAGATAGAATTTCTGCTTTGTCAGGGTTTCACCCTCTTTACTCCTAAATTCCCTTATCTTTAAGTAGGAATCCTCCTAAAATCCCCTAAGTTACAAAGTAAGGACAAAATGAAATAGTGTATTGTAAAAGGAACAATTATCAGTTGCAAAGTAGTATTAGCACTCTGTTGTTTCTGGTCAACACCTGGAGGGCTGAGCATTGTATTTTTCACTCCAGCTACCCAATCAGTATCAACTGAGTGCTCAACTCCAGGGGACACTATTCATATTATAGGTGCTGTGAAGGGGCATCATTCACAGAAAATACTCTGTGAATGGCACACCCCTGGGTGCCATTCACAGAAAATACAATATGAATGGTGTCTTCTGCAGCTGTGTCTTGCTTGCCTAGCATAGTGTTAGATTTCAGGGCTCAGGAAATATTTGTGAGGTGAAAGTATGAATGAAATCCAATTTTACTTCTTGCTACTTCCATTTCCTAAGATAAAAAGGAAAAATTGACCAGAGGCGGACAGTGGAGGAGGAGGAAAAGCAGTCACTAATTTACACACTCTAATTATGCATCTAGCTACAATGCTTCAATGAGATGTGCGTATATATGCGCGCAAGCTGATAATATGGGTAGGGGAGAGAATATATAAAAAGCGAGTATCTGGGCCTCCTTGGTGGCTCAGGGGTTAAAGATATCCCTATCAAGCTACTGCCAGCCACTACTGCACAAGTTCGATCCGAACCAGCCAGGGACCTAACCCACATGGCGCAGCAGACCTCTCCTGTCTCGCCCGCTGCTCCCCTCAGCAGTGTGTTTCAGTAGATCCCCCTGGTTTTTTTAAATAAATTTTATTTTTATATTCCCCAAACAATTGCAACCCCCTTATTTTGACCCCAATCCCTCCCCTCCCCGCCCCCCATCCCCCTAGATCCCCCTGTTTTGCTCCCCGCTCTTACCCCCCACCTCTGGCTTACACCCTAGTTCTTGTATGCATACATAAAGCGTAAAGAAAAAAAAACCACAAGTGAAAATAAAGACGAGGCAAAATCGGGAGACTTGATACAGAAACAGAGGCAGGGAGACTCGTGAAGAAGCCGCTTAGACTGTCTCGGAGGCAGGTGTCTGTAACAGCGGTGCTGGTGGAGATGGAGAGAAGTGGACAGTTCCAGGTACTTCTGGAAAGGGAAATCCGAGAGCTGGTAACAATAAAATAGCCCTTCTTCAAATAAATAGACCCTGGAGAAGAAACAAAGCCGATGTTGCTAAAAGACGACTTAATTTTACTTTTTAACCCAGTCGCCTCAATATATGAAGATGACAATAAAGAGAGGGGCGGAGCCCATAAAATCCGGGAACTTTAAACTGAGGGGACGTCAGGGGACAGAAAAAAAAGGAACACAAGGAACTTCCGGTTACTCCGGAAGTGGAGGCTCTTGCGCTCCTCCGCCGGCGGAGGGCTAGAGGGAAGGGATGGCCGGGCGGGCGGCGCGGCTGGTGCTGCTAGCTGGGGCAGCGGCGCTGGCAAGCGGCTCCCAGGGCGACCGCGAGCCGGTGTACCGTGACTGCGTGCTCGGGTGCGAGGAGCGGAACTGCTCCGGAGGCGCGCTGAAGCACTTCCGCTCCCGCCAGCCAATCTACATGAGCCTAGCAGGTAAGCCCCACCCTCCCGGTAAGCCCCGCCTTTTAGTCTTGGCCCCGCCCCTCAAGCCCCCAGTGCCCCTCTGTGCTCTCTGAACCTTACTCACCCCCCAACTCCACCCCCAAATTCCTGGTCCTTGTGCTTGTAGGTGAGTGGAGCCCCAGGGTGATGAAAGCCTCATTAACCAGTCTTACTTTCCCAGGAGATTTTCGTTTACTTTTTATTTATTTGGTCAAACAGGCACTTAATTCTTCAGGAGTGCAAGGCCCTGGAATGTAAGCAGGCCAGGTCCTGTCCTTTGGAGTGGCAGTGTCCTTGGGGACATTAACCTTCTCAAGTGCCATGTTGAGGAACAGTTGAACCCTAAGGGGCAGTTATATTAAGCAATAAGTGCATGTAGGGGAGGAAGGAAATGGTTTTGGACTATGAGGGTGTTACAGGGCAGGGAGAGGGGCAGCCCAGACCCGGCAAACCTGCCTGCTCTAAATAGGTTCTGCCATCTGCTGCATCAACAGAAAACATATGAGACTTTAATGGGAAGGAACTTTAATATAATTAGGAAACATTACAGAAAAGGCAAAGAATATAGTTTTTAAATTAACGCACCCAAAGTTACCCATTCTCTCGTGGGTAAAAGTCCATCTAAATGGGATTGGCCCAGAGCAAGGCCCCAAAGCCTGCCACAAATCTAAAGCATCTTCTAGTGGGGACCCACAGAAAAGGATTAGAGACAACAGACAAGTCTAGAAGGAAAGAGCAAAATCCAAATCAAGTCAAAAACCACCTATGTCACCTCTCCACAGGTCTCTCACCCACATCTGTGTCACTCAGCCCACGACCAAAAGGCAAGCGCAGTTTCTTCGCGTGTGTCTTGGCTCCATGTGTCTCCTCCAGGTCACCTGAGCAGGGAGAGGGTCAGGAAACCTGGAACCTCCCCCTTTCCTGGAGACCACCCTGTTACAAGGGCTGGGGATGAACTATCATCTTGGAATATTCTGTGGATGGATGTATTAAATTTGCAACTGTGGCAATAGTGGATGGCTACTATGTAACAGATGTCACAGTCTCTTGGTTAATTTTCACAGTAACCTTTGAGGTTGTTTCTTTTAACTTTATTTTATAGATGGGAGAAACTCAGAAAGGCCAAGTGCCCTGCCCAAAGTCACACAGCCAGTAAATGGTAGAGTTTCCAGTTCTGACCTGTTTGACTGCAAGTTTGTTCTCTTTACATTCCCTTTGCATTCCAGACAGAGGGAACAGAGAGCAGAAGCCCTGGGCAGATGTGGGCAGATGTGGGCATATCCAGCAGCTTGGTGTACTCAGGGAGCAGGTGAATGAAAAAGAATAGTGGGAAAAAAGAAAGAAAAGGAGTAGTGAGAAAGTTGGAAAGGTTATTTGGGGCCTCAGAAGCCAGACTGAATAATTTGGGCTTCCTCTTCAGAGGAGTTGGACAATAACAAAGGGCTTCTCCCTGTCAAAAGAGAGCAAACCCAGGCATCCACAGATTAGTCCTCTCAGATAGGGAACCTGCTCCTCACATTGTTCACATTGTTGCAGTGTCCCCTACTGTAACATGTACTGATGCCTTTCACTCCATCTTGGGTGAAACTAGAAGAAACCTCTTTGCAACTGTACACTTCCATCCCCTCAAACACACACACCAGGTTCCCTTATATGTATGTCTCACCACCTCTAGCCCATCTACGTGGGAAGCTAGAATTTTGAGACTTCTGGTTCTTTTCTTGGGCTGCATTTTAGCTTGGACCCTATGCACACTCTCTCTGTGCCTCCCCATGCTTGGGAGTTCACTGGGCCACATTTATCTGTTTCAGGCTGGACCTGTAGAGACGAATGTAAGTATGAGTGCATGTGGGTCACTGTCGGCCTCTACCTCCAAGAAGGTCACCAAGTGCCTCAGTTCCATGGCAAGGTGAGTTGGAGGGTCAAGGTAGGTATAATGGTGGTGTGGTGGGAAGATTAACCCCACCCCACCCCCAGGTAGGATCACAAAGCAATCAGAGGTGTAGGGTTGATGGCAGGTACCTGTTCTGAAAAGATACTGGTTTTTATATAATCAGATGGAACTAATGTGTCCTGTCTTTAGAGTTGTAATAAATATCTGGAAGGCCTGAGGTCTCTGAGAGAGTGGTGCCAGGCTTCTAGGGTGATCAAATGCCTACTTTACTATAAAGACTTACTCCCTGACCCAAGTGGCATGCTGTCACTTCTCCAGTAAGGTCTGGACTTCAATAATCATGCCCCCTTAGATTGCCCAGGGAGCCACAGTTTCCTGGTGCCTTTTGAGCCAATATGATGATCTTCTGCCTATTGAAGTTGTCAAGAATTTTCCTCCCCAGTTTGTCAGAGTAAACTGAGGCTCAGGAGGCTGTGATCAGCGGTAGAGGAGAAATCAGCACCTGTGTCCTCAGGGGCAGGTCTGTGTTATTTCTGCCAGGTCATACTGAACCATTACACTGGTCCACCTGATCACCCCAGAGACCAGGCTCATAGTGCTATGAGCACCGGCCAGGATAGGGAGTGTGCCCCTTCACCATGGGGCTCACTGACCTAAAGGGGGTCAGAACCTGAGCTTTGACTGATGTGCAGAACTACAGAACCAGCTGAGGCTGATGCAGCATGTCAAGGAAAGGCGGACTGGGGCAGCAGGGGGTTGCTTGTGCCTCAGGCCCCTCCCTTTGCTCCTTTTTCAGTGGCCCTTCTCCCGGTTCCTGTTCTTCCAAGAGCCAGCTTCTGCTGTGGCCTCCTTCCTCAATGGCCTGGCCAGCCTGGTGATGCTCTGCCGCTACCGCACCTCTGTGCCCGCATCCTCCCCTATGTACCCCACCTGCGTGGCCTTCGCTTGGGTAGGTAACCTGGTAGAATACCTGCTCTGCACCCTCCTTTAGAAAGGAAGAACTTTTAGATCCCCACTCTCAACCAACTTCCACCTCCCTGCCATCAAAAAAGTCATTCATTCATGTAAGGAACCTATTGTGTGCCACGATCTTTGCTGGGTGGTGAAAATCCAAAAGAATAGAAAAAGGGTGGAGCCCTGACCTAGGGTACTAATCACACAAGCAGACAATTGAATTGAATGTGAAAGTAGAACTGGGAAAAGGTGCAATGGAGGAGTTTAAGGGTATGTGATGGGACACTAGGCCTGCACAGGGCACTGAGGGAAGGCTTTCCTGAGGAAGGCACATTTGAGGTAGAGCTGTGCTGAGTGAGCATTAACTAGGGGAATTCAGGGAGAGTAGGGGAGTCACCAACAGGGAAGACATGAGACATACAGTGTGCAGAGGCAGGAGAAAGCGCAGGTCAGCTGAGGACCTGAAAGCCAGGAGGCCTCCCTCCCTCAGGAAGCCAGGGAGTGCGTGTGAGATGGAGGGCCACAGACAGGCCAGCCCACGGACACTGGAGGTCTTGACCTGAAAGCATCAGGAAGCAATGAGGATTGCACAGAAGGGATTTCATGAACAGATTTCCCCTTTGGAAAACTCATCCAGAGAACAGACTGGAGGGGACAGGAGGGATTGCCAAGGACTAGCTGGTGGTTTGGGCGGAGGACACAGTAGCCTAGGCAGGTGGCACAGGGCTTGGGAAGAGGGTAGTAAAGACGAGCGCTTGGGTTATGTTTTGGGAGTGACGTTCAAGTTCTTAAAATTTTATTTATCTAACAAAAACATACATGGCAATTACCAGACACCACCCTAAGCATTTCATAAATATTAACCTTGTTAATCCCATAACAAGGTTACGAGGTAAGTAGTAGTATTACCCCACTTACAGGGGTAGGTTCTGTAAGCTGTAGGTTCTGTAAGCTGCCGGCGAGCCAGGTTCAGTCCAGGATCTCTGACCATGGGGGCTGTGCCGACAAGCCCCAGGGGCAGATTAGGTGAGGAGAATCAGGGAATCGGGACCTTGGTGTCCACTTATGAGATGGTGGTAGAAGCTGTGAATGTGGATGTGCTCACCAAGGGGACTGAGACAGTGAAAAGAGAAGGGTCTAGGATGGAACCCTAAGGGACCCCAAAACTTCATGGCTAGATGGAGGAGGGTGAACAAGCAGTGGCGACAAATGGAGCAACCTGAGGGGCAGGTAGAAAACTAGGCTATCACGTGGCTAGGGGCACCCTGGGACGAGGACAGGAAGGGGGGAGTAGGCCATTCTGAATCCTGCTGGACAGTCAAGTGAATGAAAACTGAAGGACACCCCTGGATCTGGCGACCCTGAAGTCACCAAAGACTTTGGGAAAATTGATAATGAGGGGGTGCCGAGAAGTCCAGGCTACACCTCAGATTCGAGAGATGAGAAATGGAAGGGGGGCAGGGAGGGAAGCTGCTAAGTCTCCAGAAACATTGATCCTCCCAAATACTTTACATTCCACAAATATTAATGATAATCATCTTCCAAAAGATGACAAATTAATCTGTGAGAAATTATGTGACGGGCATTGTCCTGGCACTTGATGTACATTTTCTCACTTAGCCCTCAGTGTGAGGCTCTAAGGAGCAGCAGCTTGCCTCATTCGCATCACACAGGGCTGCAAGCTCCCCCTGGGAGGTGTGACCCCTCAGCAGGAAGGACGCTGGGTGGCAGATGCCCGTGGATGGTGGGTGGGGGGAGAGAGGTGAAGTGTTGTGTGGACAAAGGCTGGACCCTCTGAGGTCTCGTCAGAGTCTCAGTGTCTATCCAAGGAGACGCTGAGCTTGGTCAGAGTCCAGGCAGGGTCGAGAGGGCGGTACAGATGAAGCAGGAGTTGCTGGGTTAAGAGAGGGCAGGTGCCTGGGGTCTGTGGCTGTGTCTTGCACTAGGCCTTTAGTGCCCACACTCCCTCTGATGATCCACTTTGGATTTTACACTTACACTTGCTCTTTAGCCCTGTGTGTGTGTGTTTGCGGGAAGGAGGCATTCCGAGTGGCACAAAGGGTGTGGCAGTGGACTTTGTCCTGGGCTAGGTCTTTTGGATTGAGTGGGGCTCCTGATTTCTGTTGGGGTAGGGCAGGAGGTCCCTCACCTGCCACAGGTGAGGTCTGGGGTGATTTCAGTCCTTTTCTCTGGGGGAGCACTGCCCCCCCCACCCCAGCAGGGCTAATTAAGCTTTGGCACAAAGAAGGCAGCTCCCATCTTGACGTTTAGACTTGGGCTTGGGCAGAACGGAGGCCAGGCTTTAAGGGAGCCCACCAAAGTTCTGCACACCATAGACTTTTGACTTCACAGAACTGGTGTGGAGGCCATGCCAGTTTCCTGCCCCTTTGTGCAGCAAGGCAAGTTCCCAGAGGGTATGCCAGGAAAGCCCAGACCGTCTCTGCAGGATGATTAGTGGAGGTGGTCACTGACTGTGCTCTACCTCTGCTGAGGACACTACCAGAAAAGACAGGTTGAAGCTGCATCTGAATGATGGTTAGACTCCAGGAAGGACTTCCATGCGGTCAGCCAAGAGCCTGTGGAACAGGCAATGGCGGGTCAGGAAATCCTTTTTGATGGTGGAACAAGCCCTCCTCCTCCCAATCTATTCCCGTCTTTTCTCCTCCTCACTCAGGAGTGAACTGGGGCAGGCTTGCCCTGCCTGAGGCAGGGGGTGAGACACCATGGCCTCTGGGAGGGCCCAGGATGGCAGCAGGCATCATATTTAACATTCTGCCTCCCCCAGTTCTGAGACACCGAGCTATTTAAAGCCCCACTTGTCCCCACCGCCACGGTGTCAATGACAGCCCCGAGCAGTGGGGCTTAGCACTGGGGTCGAATTCCTGACAGATCTGGCTCATTTGGCATCTGACCAGTTTCACGGCTGTGATATTTTTGTCTCAATTTTCTGATTTTCCAACAGACTGAAACAGCCTCCTGCTCTCCCTGTACCCAGCCTCCTCTGTCCCCATCCATTTCCACCCTCCCTGGCACTGGGCCCCTGGCCTCCCCCTTTCCTCAGTGTTTACTCAAGTTCTTGGCGCCTGCTGGGCCAGCCTATTGCCTTGCTGGCCTGTCTGATTGGTGGGTTACCCTATCAGCCCCCTCCCATTCTACACAAGCCTGGCTGCCGAGTGTGGGAGCAGCCATATACGCGGAGACTCTCCCCTCCTTCCTGTCCATCTGGCCTCTTTGCTTGAGTCTTGATCCAGACTTCATGGAGAGAAAGAGTATCTTTTCAGTGCCTCCTGGTGGGGTGGTGGCTCAGTGGCAAGGAGGAGGGGCCTCTCCCTATAGTTGAGGTATCTACATTGTGGGATCAAGAGGCCTTGGGGCCCCATGGCTTGACCTTGAGTATTGTGACCCTTGAGGAAGAAGTAGGTCAGGGGGTCAGCCTGGAGGACATAATGAACGAAATTGACATTTATGGGGTACCTATAGCATACCAGGCAGCAGTACCAGCAACCATTTATTGAGTGGCTTTTTTTTTTTTTAAGATTTATTTATTCATGCATACAAGAACTGGGGTATAGGCCAGAGGTGCAGGTTGTGTGTGTGTGCAGGTATGTGTGTGTATTCACCAGAGAGAGTGGGGAGCCGAACAGGCAGATCTACCAAAATACACTGCAGAGGGGAGCAGTGGGAGAGACAGGAGAGGTCTGCTCCACCATGTGGGTCAGCTCCCTGGCTGGCCAGGGATCGAACTCGTGCTGCAGTGGCTGGCGATAGCTTGATAGTGCTGTCTCTAACCACTGCTCCACTAGGGAGGCCCTTTGAGCAGCTTCTTGGTGCCAGGGCTTTCACAGATGCCATCTTCAGGACCCTCTTGTGCAGCTTTCAGAGAAGCTGTTATTTGCTTAAGATCACACTTAGGGCCTAGGCACTTCTTGAATGCAAGGTCTGGTTCTGTGGAGGCTCTGGAAATTCTTCCCCCAGCCTGGAACTGTGGGGTGGGTCCAGGCAGCAGTGGAGAAACTACCCCTTCTCCACCTAGACTTCCCTGGCCTGCAGGGAGTGGGAGCAGGCATGAGGGTCCCATGCTGGCCAGCAAGGTGGGGAGCAATCACTTAATGTAATATGCCCTGTCCTGGGCAGTGGACTATGCTCTTCATTAAATCTAGATCAACACTGATTATTCCCCTTTTACAGATCAGAAAACTGAGGCACAGCAAGGCTAAAATGATTTGCTCAACGACACACAGGAAATGCAGGTCTGGGATTTGAGCCATTACAGTCTGGTTCTAGGGACTGCATTCTTTTTTCTTTGTTTTTTAAAAGATTTATTTATTTATGCATATAAGAGCTGGGGTACAGGCCAGAGGTGTGTGGGGGGGGGGTGAGAGGATTCACCAGAGACAAAGTGGGGAACAGAACAGGCAAATTACTGAACTACACTGCTGAGGGGTGCAGTGGGCAAGTCAGGAAAGGTCTGCTGCGCCATGTGGGTTGCTCCCTGGCCGGGGATCGAACTCATGCGGTGGCGGCTGCGGACAGCTTCATAGGTTGTTTCTTAACCCCTTGTGCCACCAGGGAGACCCCTGCATTCTTTTTTTTAAAAAGATTTTTATTTATTTATTTTTGCATAGAAGAGCTGGGGTGTAGGCCAGAGGTGCAGGAGGTGATTCACCAGAGACAGAGTGGGGAGCAGAGCAGGGCCTGCATTCTTAATGACACTAAGTCTCAAGTCTGAGGAGAGAATCAAAAGAGGAACCCTCCTTCTCCCTCCCCCCCATAATGGGACAGTTCCCAGGAGAGCAGGGATTTTGCAAGGATACACAGTCCAGGCTTCAGATTGGCTTTTGTAAGTGGAAGGCACCCCGAGAGGAGACTGGATAGGGGATCAAGCAACTGCCACTCCATAGAGCCAGTTAGGCCTCATCCTTTGCAAGCTGCCTCTCCTCACCACCACCTTCAGTGTTTCAGCCACCACTTAGCTCAGTAGTCATGTCACCTCCCCCTTCCTGCTATGGGTGACAAGGAGGCCTGGCTGGCTGCCAGTCCCTGTTGCCTTCCCCTCCATCTCTCTCTCACATTGGCTGCAGGGCTTTTCTCCCCAAGGATGTTCCTGTTCCTGGCCTACCTGGGAGACCTGGCTCACGTGCTTGCATGGACCCATTTCTGGCCAACACTGACCCTGGGCATCACAGGCTTCATGGGAGCAATGTCTGAAAAGCCATCAGATGTTGTTTTCCAGGCTCTGTTCCCCTCTCTGGGGATGGAGCACAATGGCTGTTCTCAGAGGAAGAAGCAACCTGATTTAGAATAATCCCCTTCAGTGGCCTCCCTGTTGGGCTAGGGGTTAAGTCTCATTGCTATCACCACTTCGGCCTGAGTTCAATCCCCAGCCAGGGAGCTACCCACATGGCGCAGCAGACCTCTCCTGTCTCGCCCGCTGCTCCCCTCAGCAGTGTATTTCAGTCAGTCTGACTGTTCTGCTCCTCACTGTCTCTGGTAAATCCTCTCACACACGCAACCCTCACCCCCCACACCTCTTGCCCACACCTCAGTTCTTCTACGCAAAAATGGAAAAAAAACAAACACAAAAACAGGGCCTCCCTGGTGGCACAAGGGGTTAAGACGCAACCTATGAAGCTGTCCGCAGCCTCTGCAGCATGAGTTCGATTCCTGACTGGCCAGGGAGCTAGCCACATGGCACAGCAGACCTCTCCTGACTCACCCACTGCTCCCCTCACCAGTGTATTTCCGTCGGTCTGCCTGTTCTGCTCCCCACTCTGTCTCTGGTGAATCCTCTCACCCCTCGAACCTCTGGCCTGTACCCCAGCTCTTGTATGCATAAATAAATAAATCTTTAAAAAAAAAGAAACAAAAACAAAAATAGACTAATGCCCTTCAGGACTGCAAAGGGGTGAAGGCTCACATAGGCCAAGCTGTGATTTGTCTCAGATGCTAGAGTGGAGAAGGGCAGCAGGGCCTTTGTCCGGGTCGTGAAGAGCATAAGTAGTAAGATAGCCTCCGACCCAGGCCAGACAGGCTTACATCAGGCATCCTGTGTCTCCAGAGACTTCTGGGCGGTCAGCTCTGCAGGACAGCCCTGACTGCCTCCGGCCCACTGCTCTTCCTACTGGAAGCCTTTCTCTGCCCTGCCTCAGGGAACCATCCTACTGTCTGACCTGCCTGCTGCAGTATGGGATGGACAGTGGCTACTTACCCTGCTCCCTCTGCCTCCTGCCTGGCCAGTTTTCCTGGTGTGCAACCTAAGGGCAGCGCTGGCCTTTACCCATCTCCAGCAGGTCTCTCCCACCCTGGTGCATCCCTCCCCACCACCAGGGCATCCCAGGCCAGACCTCTGCTGGCTGTTTCTTTGACTTGTCTTTACTGGTTTCCCAGCCCTACCTTCCTCCCAGCCCTGAGTGCGTCTCCACCCCAGCCCACCCTTCTTTCCGTATCTGGGCTTCTACTGTGCAGTGTCTGAAGAAAGTGGTGGCACCACCTCCCACAAAATCTAGGGTCTATTTGCAAGATAACTTGTACGTTTTCCATGCAGTTAATTTCCAGGAAGAAATCTTCGGAGTTTCCCTGGGCTCACCCCAGCCCCTCTAGCCCTGCTCTGGATTTCTGCTCGCTGTTCCTCCCGGGGCGCTTGAAGCCAGAGGAGCTGTAGCCACTGGTCTGGCGGGTTGGGCCGGCCCTGCCAGGAGGAAGCCCGCCTCCCTGGGCCAGCCTCCTCCCCAGAGACTCGGCCCCAGTGGGATCTGCTTGATCTCCCTCCTTGCTTGCCTGCTTAGGACACACCCCAAGCTGGCTCGAGCCCCTCTGCCCCACCCACTTCATTCCCGCCCTCAGAGACTGAGGTCACTGGCTCCCCTGGCCGGGTGGGGCTGTCCTCACCTGCAGGTTGGGGGAGGAGGCCAGTGCCCCCCGGGGCTGTTGTCTTAGTGATTGAGTAACCTTGGAACTTGGCTCTGCAGGAACTGGTTCTCTGGCCAGGCCGGAACCATGGAGGCTGCAGCCCCCGAGGCCCAGGGGGTTGAGAGAACTGGGTTGGGTAGGGAGGGGCGCGGGTTTCAGGTTTGTTCTTTGGGCTCTCGGGGCAGGGAAAGCATGCTTCTCAGCCTGCAGAGCCCCTTCCCAAAGTGAGAGGGAGGTGAGCCTCTGGGGGTCTTTCCCACTGGGGGCAGCACTCAGGAGCCACCTCCCTCCTCAGGTCTCCCTCAATGCTTGGTTCTGGTCCACAGTCTTCCACACCAGGGACACCGACCTTACTGAGGTGAGTGCCCCTCCCATCCCCTCTGCTGCTTGGGACAGCCCAGAGGAGCCCAGAAGCGCTACTCTGAGGGCCCTGACTGACCACACGTCAGGAGCACCTGCTTGGTGTGAGGCCTAAACCTGTGGGTGTGCTTGAGCCTCGCTTGGCCCCTGAGAGGTAGGGGTGATGATTGCCTCTTTTAACTGGTGAGGCAGCTGACCCTCCGAAAGGTGAAAACACTGGCCCACAATCTCAGGGCCAGTAAAGGGGTGTGATCTGTCCTTGAACCACAGCTGTGGAAGCCCAGACTGCACTCTGAGTTCCGTGACGTGCTCTCATGTTCCGCAGGAGACCCCGAACTGTGCCGCTGGAGCCTCACAGCCGAGCACTCACTTAAGAAGTTGCTCATCTAAATAAAAGGGTCCGTCTGTTAACTTCCAGAGTGAAACAGCAATAGGTAGAAGGAGCATGAGACGTGGCCCCTCTCACCCAGGCTTAGGACTCTGTATTAGGCACACCAGTGACTCTGCCGCCCCTCCTCGCCCCCTGCCTCCTGGGTCCTCTCTGGACCCTGCCCTCCATGAAGCCTTGTCCACCTCCTGCTCCGCGCACTGGCCGCTCACCCAGCTCTCTCTGTCCTCAGAAAATGGACTACTTCTGTGCCTCCACCGTCATCCTCCACTCAATCTACCTGTGCTGTGTCAGGTGAGCCCACTCAGGCTGCGGTAGGGGCAGAACCGGCCCTGGAGGCAAAAGGGGGTGGCCCAGCCTTTTCCTGAAGCTGCTATTCCCAGCCCCTTCTTCTCTGGTCCCTCAACACACACACACACACACACACACCCTCCTGGTGCACACACACACACACACACACACCCTCCTGGTGGTCCTGGATGGGAACTCTGGGTAGGACTGGGGGTCCTGGCTCTTTCCCAGGTGCTGTGTAGCGCTTGGTCCCATCCCCTGGGGACTGGCAGCTGCCCGGCTGGCCTGCTTTACTAGGGGAGAGGGGGGTTTCCAGGGCCACTCACTGATTCAGGGAGAGGGCACGCATCAGGGACTGCTGCTCCAGGCTGCGCCACCCTCCTCTGAGCAGCTCTGGGTGGCGGGGCAGGACTGTGGGGCTGCAGCGCCCAGCTCTGGCCAGTGCCTTCCGGGCCCTCCTGCTGCTGCTGCTGACAGCGCACATCTCCTACCTGAGCCTTGTCCGCTTCGACTACGGCTACAACCTGGCGGCCAATGTGACCATTGGTGAGGCTATGGCACTGAGACGTGGCACTGCTGGGGCCTGGGGTGTGTGTGTGGGGTGCTGTTCCTGGGGGAGATTCTAGCAAGGCCCTTGCTCTGGGAGAAGGGGGAGGGGGAGGAGTTTGAGGTAAGGCTGGCCCTGGGGTCAGAGAGCATGGGGGTGGGGGTGGTCTTGGGAGGGAGAAGGAGGTCCAGGGAGTGAGCCTTTCCCTGCCCCGTTGGCACCCAGGCCTGGTCAACGTGGTGTGGTGGCTGGCCTGGTGCCTGTGGAACCGCCGGCAGCTCCCCCACACACGCAAGTGCGCGGTGGTCGTCCTGCTGCTGCAGGGGCTGTCCCTGCTCGAGCTGCTCGACTTCCCGCCTCTCTTCTGGGTCCTGGACGCGCACGCCATCTGGCACATCAGCACCATCCCCGTCCACGTGCTCTTTTTCAGGTGGGTGCTGCTGCCCAGTGCCCACTTTGTGCCCTGTCTTGCCCCCCTCGTCCCCCCCCAGGGAGGCTGGGCCTTCCTGCTAGGGCTGGGTCCCTCCCAACTTGCCTGCCCTCACCCCACCCCGCCCCGGGGGCACGCTCAGAGCCGTGCCTCAGTGGACTCCTCTCTTCACCCACAGCTTTCTGGAAGATGACAGCCTTTACCTGCTGAAGGAATCAGAGGCCAAGTTCAAACTGGACTGAAGGCCCTGGCGGGGGTCTGGACTGGTGGGATCCTGTCCCCTCCATGTTGGCATCCCTTCTTCCCCCAATCCTGGATATGATTTATTTTTCTTTAGTATCTTGAACTTGGACATGAAGGGTGTGTGGGCCCAGAATCATGTAACCTGCCCACCCCCTTGCTCACCCCCACCTGGTGCTCACAGGGCTTGGGGTCTGTTGCGGCCTGGTCTCTCAGCATACGGGGCTAGGAAACCTGCAGCCCCTCTGGTGCCTGGAACTGAACTGGGGGGACCTGTGTTCCTAGCACCTCCAAGAGGAGAGCTGCCTTCTCCTCCTCAGCCTCTCACATCCCCTCACAGCCTGGTGGTTTCCAAACAAAGTCCTTTGGGAGACCAGGTACCACAGGCCTTTGGGGGTACAGTGAGCCCCCTTCTGTTACCCCCCCATGTCCTCCTCCAGGGTACCACTAGGTGGCACTAGATACTCGCTCTTTGGCTGCTCAAGCTTCAGGCAGGTCTTTTTCTTCCCATGGGATCTTGAGGGACCAAGCTGCTGGGGACTGGAGAATGGTCTCACCCAGACTGTCGCCCCCGCCAGGCCCCCACAGGCCTCATCAGAAAGCCCAAGACAGGACTTCTCTGGCCCCTGGGCTGCTGTTCTGACTGGGAGTCTGCAGAGGAGTGTGTGGAGGAGTGTGGCCCTGGCCGAGAGCAGAGGGGGATGGTCAGCTTTAGGTATGGGCGGGGAGCAGGTGAGTCAGTGTGGGTTAGTAGACTGTATAGACTGATGTGAGCTGCTGGTGAGTGCAGGCGAATGTGTCACTCCGTGGGGTGGGGGGACTCTGGAGAAGTGGGGGTTAAGCAACTATATTGAGTACTAATTTTGCTCAAGGCCCTAGGCCAGGCAAAGGGCTAGATTATCCCTACGATCTGGCTTGGGGTTTGGGTCCAGGCTGTACGTGTGTGTATGTGTTCCATTGCCCCCTCCTTTGCAATCTCATAGGGCCCCCCACAACTCAAAGTCGCCCTCCACAACCAGCCCCTCAGAAGGCAGAGAGAGAAGGGAAAATGGGGATCCTCTAAGTCCTTTCCGGCCTCCCTGTCTCTGCCTATGCATGGTCCATCTTCCCCTGCCCCAGTGCCCTGCCTGCTAAGCCCCTTTGTGGCTGCCTGCACCTAGGTGGGGAGCGGACTGAGGGAGGAGGCTTGAGGCTGGGTCCAGTTTCTGGCCTCCCCAGAGGCAGGCAGGAGCCACACTGTGACTGGTAGAGGAGCCCTCCCCACACTGTGGCTGGTAGCCACACCGTACCCTGGTAGAGGATCCCTCCCCACTGCCCCGCCGCAGCCTGAGCACATTCCGCTCCACAAGGGTAGTATGTGGAGCTCCAGAAACTTCCCATCCCATCCAGTCTGTGATTGGAGCCGGGAGTCTGAATTTGTCCCTCCTTAAGGGTAGGGGCGCTATATTGGGACTCCAACCTCAGGGACTTGGGTGGCTTCATTTCTTTTGGTATGAGACTATTTTAAGGTGGGAGGGAAGCAAGGGACATTCCTAATAAACCAATTCTCAGCCTCACGTACCCTTGTGCACTCATTTGTGTGATCAGGGGATGGAGGAGATGGAGCTGGCAGGAGGCAGTAGAGGAGTGGGCTCTCCCCCTAGGCATGTGGGGGTGGCAGGGCCCAGAGGCTGGAGTAACAGCAGGGCCAGGCACAGCTGCAGTCCAACCCTGGGGTGGGGTGTGGGGGGAGAGGAGGGAGCTGGTGCCAGTTCTTGCCTCAAATTTTCCTGGTCTTGGGCCTCCCCGGTGGCGCAGCGGTTGAGCGCTGGGTTGCGAAGCTGCCCGCGGCCTCTGCGGCGCCGGTTCGATCCCCGGCTGCTCCCCGGCCACCAGAGGAGGGTCCTACATGGCGCGCAGACCTCTCCTGCCGCCCGCTGCTCCCCTCAGCAGTGTACTTCGGCCCTTCTGCCTGCTCTGCTCCCCACTCTGGCTCTGGTGAATTCTCTCACCCTCCCACGCTTCTGACTGTACCCAGTGCATGTATAAACAAAAACAAACAAACAAACAAATAAAATAAATAAATAAATAAAACATGCCTCTATAAAAAAAAAAAAAATACTTAAAAAAAAAAAAAAAATTTTCCTGGTCTTTGTGCCTAGATTGTAACCCTACTGCCCTGCCATTTCCACTCAGTCTCCTAATGCCCCTCCCCTCGGCCCCGAACTGGCTACTCACTACCGCTGTAACACTGCTGCTGTTAACCTTTATGAGCTTCACCTGCAGACAGAGTACCAGCACCAGCTGCTGGGTGCGAGGACTGAGTACACCTGCTAAGAGTCTGGCCCACAGCAGATGCTTCATGACCTCTCTCTGACCTTGGCTTTCCTTAGTTTGTGAAGAATAAATGGAGCAGAAATCTACCCCCCTGAAGTTTCTGGAAAAAAGGCTAGGGCTCGTAGCTCCCACAACACATGGGTGCTCTGGGCCCTCGTAGCTTCCCAGAAGAGCCCCAGAGAACACTGACACTCAGGAGCAGGGAGTTACGTCTTTATTAGGTGCCACACCAGATACTAGGGAATCTAGGCAGGTGAAAGCACCAGCATTAGCTGTACTGGCCCCTCATGCTCCCACCTTCTTCTGGGCCCAGGCGAAGAAGATGCCCTTGACATCATCCACACCTGTCTGGAGGTGGGCAGGCATGACGTAGGTGCGCAGGTCCCGCACCTCGTAGCCGCTGCAGACCAGGGCCTCCCTCACCTCCTCCTCACACACGGGCACCACCACCAGCCTGACCTCCCCAGCTAGGTACCAGGACTCCTCCAGGCCCCCGATGAGCAGGAGGTGCCCCCCTGGCCTCAGCAGTGTGGTGATGTGGTCCAGGGCCCGCTGGAAGCTGGCCAGGTCCGGACTCACAGACTCCAGGCAGAAGGTAGAGACCAGGGCATCAGCAGGCAGGGGCGCCAGGCTCCCGGTGCCCAGGGGTTGCGGCTGGTGCACGTCAATGGGCAGGACCCGCTTCACCCTGGCTCGAAGCTGGCGCTCCTTCTCCTGCCAAGACTCACTGCGGAGGCAGAAGGCAGGGTCAGGACAGGGCTTACACCTGCTCGTGCTCAGTCCTCAGAGCCCCCACCCCGCCCACTGGGAAGCCCCGCCCCCAGCCCCAGCCCTGACCCGTGGCCCTCGATGCGGCAGACGTGCTGGCTGTACTCGCTCCAGTCAAAGGCGCCCGGCTCCTCCCGCAGCCAGAGCCCCAGCTCCCGGCGGTTCACCTCCAGGTAATCTGTCATGGTGATGTCCTCAAAGTGGGCGCAGGCACTGAGCAGCTGGTATATGGTGGGGCCGGAACCGATGTCGATGAGGGTGCGTCCAGACACCTCACCTGGGCAGGGCCGGGGAAGGGGCAGGCAGCCTCTGTCACTGGCTCCCTCCGCTGCTTCCCCGCCCTCTCTCTAGCTCTTTCTGTCTCTGCCTGAAAAGGCACCAGCTCTGGAGTTAGACCAGCCCGGGGTTCCAGTCCAGGCGCCAGCAGCTGCCCACTTAGCTGGGAAAAGGGCCGACACCCTCCCACAGCTGCCAGCCAGGCACAGGAGGACCCCGGGCCCGGGCAGTTTGCTCTCCGCGGGCCCCTCTCCCCGGCCCAATCTCTGCCTCCTCCTTCCCACCACCTTTCCTGCGGCCCCCACCTCCCCTCTCCGTCCCCAGCGTCCTAAGGAGGAGAGGCTGCCCTTCTCCCCGCGCGGCCCCCTCCCGCTGGCCCGCGCTCGCACCCCGCGGCTCCCTGGGGACGTCTCGCCCTCTGTGCCCGTCTCTGGTGCTCACCGGTGGCAAAGGTCTGCGCCAAGCAGCGCAGCTTCCAGGGCCCGACGCCGTCCGGGCTGCTCAGGTCGCCCCGCGGGGGCGCGTGGTTGTTGCGCAGGTAGGCCCGCGGCTCGAAGCGCTGGTAGGCCAAGGCCACGGCCGCCTGGCCCTGGTCGGGGTCGGGGGCCGCGCCCGCCGCGGGGCTGGGGTCTGTGCCGCTCATGCTGCAGCCCCGGCCTGCCTGGCCCCGCTCCCTCGCGGCCCTTTATCTGCGTCCGGACCCTCCGCGGGGGCGGCGACCGGAGCGGGGAGCCGCCTGGGGCCCAGCGCTGCATCTCCCCTGACCCCATCCATCTCCTTTAGTGTCGGAGCAGCAGACACGGGGGTGGGGGTGCGGCCGGCACGTCTGTTCCAGGCCCTGCTCCTCGGGGCTCCCTCCGCCCTCTGGTTCACCTGGCCCTGTCCGAGCCCCACTTCCAGGCCCCCCATCTCGGCTTCCCACGCCCACGGGTGTCAGAACCCCCGTTCCTCTTCTCCCGCTCCCCTCACCCTTTTGTCTGGCACCCGGTCCCTTCTCCTTTGTCCGGGGACCAACTAGCCCTTCCCCAGAGTCCTGCCCCGAGGCCCAGAGCCGCACCAGGCTCCTCTTCTCTGGGACACCCTTTCCAACATACACCCCCATTCCTTAATAAGGAAAGGGGCCACCCCAAGTTCCCTTCTCCACCCCTCCAGACCTCTCCCGTCCTTTCCTGCCCCACCCCCATCCCGCAGCGCCCCCACACCCGCTCCAGGACACTCTGTTCTGGCCCCTACCACGGTGCCCCCGGGGCTGGGAGCAGGGCTGGGCCCCTCCCGTGCGATGGCAGCGGCGATAGGGAAGGCGAGCAGGGCTGACGCACTTAGCGGTGGGTACAGCCCGGCCTCCCCTGCGGGCTCTGAACCGCTTATCTGGGCGCAGCCTAGGGCCCAAGGCTCTGGACGTTCCTGCCAGTCGGGGGCTCAGGGCCCAGGCGAGGGCGCCTGGCGCTTGCTCCAGGTTGCCAGGGCCACGAGGGGGCGCAGCCTGGGCTTTCCGGAGCCGAGGCCCTGGGGTCGCAGCCGTCTGCGGTCTCGGAACCCTCTCCCAGCAAACGCTCCAGCCCTCTCTGGGGGCTGCCGCCAACCAAAGTCTGCTGGTCCTGCTTGGTGCTCCGGGTACCAGGTTGTCGAGATGCCAGGGTCGCCCCTTCTGCCCCCAAAGAGGGAAGTAGATTGTGCCCGTCTATCTCCGTGGTATCCCTGGGGTGGGACCCCCTCCGTCAGGGCGGTGCCCCTCCCCTGGGGGTCAGGTACCAGCCCTGCAAGACGCCCCTGCCTCCTCTGTGCCACCCCCGTCACCATGTTGTCCCAAGGGTAAAGTTCCTCCTTGGGCTCCCTGGGGCATGAGTCACCACGACAGCTGCAGGGGTCACAGACAGGAACCTGACCCTCCCTGTTCTCCCCCCTGCAACCCACTCTGGGCTCCCAGGGCAGGAAGGGTTCTGCCTGTCCCCAGTCAAGGACTGGCTCTCGGGCCTCGCAGGATTCAGAGTTGAGGTAGGTCAGCCCTGGGGGCACTGACCCGGTACACACCCCCAGGCACAGCCAAGGGCAGTCTTGGTGCCAGCCCCCTCCTTATTCTCCAGGAGATCATTTAGACAAACCCTGGATGCCAGCTGGCTTGTTGGGCATTGCCTAATGCCAGAGGGCTGGGCCCAGAGGCCAGGGCTGGAGAGCGGTTAGGGGACAGAGGGGACTGGACAGATAGCCTCCCTGTTCACAGCTGTCTCAGTCACAGCCCCCCCCCCCCCAGCATGGGGCGTACCCACCACCAGCTCTGCCATATTTAGCTCAGAAGCAGGGATTGTTCCCAGAAGCGAGCACCGGGGACACCGTGAGCTGGTCTCCATAATCACGAGACAAAATCCTGGAGTATTATTGAGCATTTATTGCAGCGCTAACTGAGGGTGCTAGGGGCCCCACCCAGCCTCTGCCCTCTTCACGTCCCCCACTCCCTCTCCAAGCCTCCCTCCCAGAGCTTCCAGATCCCCTCACACTTCCCGCCCTTCTCTGAAGCTGAAACTTGGACCAGGGTCACTCCTCTTGCCCCCGCCAGCACCTCCTGTCCCTTCGCCCGGGGTTGCAGGTCCTCCGCTGTGCAGGCCCTCAGCTCCCCCGCTCTAGTGCCACCGTCTTTGCTCCCTTCCCTTTGGGGACTCAGGGAAACCAGGCATCCTGGCCTCCGGCCCCCTCTGCCCCTAGCCCCCAGTTCTGGGTAAACTACAAAGCGTCCACGGCCGGCTGCTCTTTTCTGTGGTCCTAGCCGGGGAGGGCCCAGCCCAGGGTGGGCACGGGACAGCCTAAGTCACGGTCCCTCTTAGCCTCTCTGGGCTTCCTGGGACATGGAGCGGGACAGGGAGCGACGGAGGGCGCCAGGCTTGCTGACAGGCATCACAGGAGGCAGCTGCTTGGTGATCTCAGCCACGTCCTGGCGCTCTGCACACTGGCCACCCAGGACTAGCTCCAGCTGGATGGGGGTCTCCTCGCGTTCCTCCTTGGAGGCGCCCACCTTGGTGGGGGTGAAGATGGGGAGAGGCAGCACCCGCTGGTAGGGCAGCAGGTACTCCTGCAGCCCGCGGCCAAGGATGCCCATTCGCATCATCAACCAGGGGGAGTGCTGCACCAGCGCCTGGCACTGCCCCTGCTGGTGGTAGGTCTCATGCCGCTCGGTGTCCTCCTCATGCAGGGAACAGCTGGAAGGAGAGGGCAGGGGACGCTCAGTTCCTGGGAGCTGGCACCCTCCAGTCTCGGACGGGGCAGGGGCTCCCTGGGGCTGCTGGGACCTGGGAGCCAGAAGGGGGACTCCACTTCGCTTTCCCCCCAGTATGCACTCTCCTTGCCCCCACATCCAGAAACTTCTCCAGGGCTTTGTGCTCTGACCCCTTAAAGCTGCGGGAAGGTGCTCTAGGGGAGAGGGCGCCAGCAGGCCAGCACTCACCCCTCCTCTGGCCGCCTGGACAGCGTCAGATCCTTCCATTCAGCCCAGAAGGCCTCTCTGCGCTCTTGGTTCTCCTCCGACACCTGGCAGCTCAGCTCCAAAGCGGCCATGGTCACTCCTCACAACAGGGCTCTGCTCCTCCTGGGCCCTTTAAATAACCCCCACCCCTCCTCCAGGGGCTATTTTCAGCCCCTCTGGCGTCAGAGGCTATAAGCAGAGCCAAGGTTCACTGATGGGGGATTCAGCCCAGGGCGGGGGTTGGGGTACCTGGCCTCTAGCCTCTAGCCCTGGGGGTCAGGGGTCAGACTTTGAAGAGAGCAAGATGCTTTAGAGGGGCCAGGGGTCCTCTCAGTGACACCCCCAGGTGTCTGATGCTCCTCAGACACTGTCTGATCCCAGGCACATGTCCAGCCTCGTGCCACCTTGGCACCTGCCCTCTGCCCCGCCCCTTCCCCTCGCGCAGGGAGGACAGCGGCTTGTCTGTAAACAGCAGGAAGTGCAGGAACCCAGGCCCCTCTGGCTCTGAACCAGGCCTCCCATCCTGCCCCCACTGCTCTCTTGTGCCTGGTTCACGGGCACACCCCCAACCTGTACCCCTTAACAGAAGGGGCAGTGCAACCAGGTCCTCAGGCATCTGCACCCAAGACCTGGCCTCTGAGCGCCACCACCACAGCAGCAGGGGAACTGAAGTGAACTGCACACTGGGACTCTGGGTTTTCCTTTCCCACGCCAGTGGTCAGAGAAGCGGCCTCCCAGGTTGGGCCAGTCAGGGTGGAGGGAACAGGAGGGGAAGTGGACCCCAGACTCCCCACAATGCCCCAAGCAGCAGGAGATGGAATCCAGGGGTATCGACAAGCTGCAGTCAGAAGACCTGGCTCGGGCGCAGAATCAGCCATAAATAGCTGTCACCCCGGGTCAGGCTCTTCCTCTCTGGGCCTCACTGTCCCAATTCTCTGGTCGCAGTGGACGGAGCAGAGGTGCTCCAAGCCCTGCCAGCTCCAACGTGCCATCTGGCAGGGGGCTGGCTCATTCACGGCAGGGGAGAACGGCCCAGCACCCAAGAGCTGCAACTCACAGTGCGAGACGCTGGCACACAGGGTGCAGGCACGGGGAAGGGGGGCAGAAGGACAACAAAGCAAAGGGCAGCAGAAAGGCAGAGCCGAGAGAGCCTGCGGGGACAGCAGGGCACCCGGCAGCTGGCAAGGCCGGCGGGGCCCACCCGGGGCAGACCTGCATCCTCTGCACTGCAGGGCTTAGAACCTGACAGCTTTTAATCTCGCGACAGCCCGACGACAGAGCGACAGAAGGAGTCTCACTGTCACCAAGCAGGGCCGCTCCGGGCCACACACCAACCAGCCCGGGATCCCAGCTCCCCGGCGGAGGGGAAGGTACGTGGATCCCGAGAGGCCAAGGGTTCCATGGCCAGACCCCAGAAGTGCCTTAGTGACCCTGAAGTCCCGGCCCCCGGGCTGGGCACTGCGGGCACTGCCCTGTTGTTGCCTCCCTCCCCCCATTCGTAGGCTGGAGACCTCAGCCTGACCTCCCCTTCCAGGAGGCCTGCCAGGGGGTGGGGCGTTCCCTGGCCAGTCCTCCACCCAGCTGAACCATTTGGAAGAGATGGGGGTTCCAGGAATCAGCTTTGGCCTCCTGTGGGCTGGGAGGTTGAGAGGGCACGTGAGGGTCTTGGTGGGGGCACCTCCCGGGCGCTGCTGCCCTCCTTCCCTGCAAGCGGCCAGGCAGGTGGGGCTCTCTTTTTTCTTGAGTTCATGTGTTTTATTGGCTCAAATTACAAAGCTCCCCCCCCCCACACACACCAGGAGGCCTGGGGACAGGGAGAGAGCCTGGGAGAGGCACAGGGTCACTGATGGTGCCTCTCACCCCTGCCTGCTCCAGGCTCCCCCACAAGTGCATGTGGAAAAAGGTCCCAGACCCTTGAGATCCTGGAAAAGCATGATGAGAGAGCAGGTGAAGGAAGGGGCTCCCACACCCACCATAACACTGGGGACCAGGCTGCCCTGACCTCGGTCCTGCCGGGGCCCTGTCCTCCCCTGTCCAGTCTTGCAGGGTCCCCTTCCAGATCTCGCCCCTGGGCAGCAGGGGACAGCAGAGCTCCTCATCCGGACACAGGGGTGCCATGGAGACATCAGCAGGGCAGAGCCCTGGAGTCCAGACGCAGGCCCCAGCCACGGCTCCCAAGCACGTGAAGCCTGGGGGCGGGAGGCAGCCAGGGGCCAGGGTACTCCAGCGGGAGGAGGCCCCTCCCCACTGCTTGAGGCCAGTCCTCTGTGGGCAGCAGGAAACCCAGCTGGCCCCACTCTGGCTCTGGAGGCTATGAGACAGGACCCTGGCCTGCAGGGTGGCGAGGGGGTGAGCCTATGCCCGGGCCCCCAGCTCTCCGACACGCTGCCGCAGGTGAAAGGCAAATTCAAACATGGTGGCTGCGAGGCTCTGGTGGATGAGGTACCGGGGAAGGCGGCCCTGGGGGAAGAAGTTCCAGGAGGGTTCACCCTCTCCAACTGGTGCCAGCAGGGGGTGCCCTGGGCTGGACTGCAAGTGCAGTCCTGGAAGGCAGCCCAGGCCACTGTCTCTCCCCAGCCCTGGCAGGAAGAACATGCTGTACCAGGTCTTGGCACAGGCCACACAGACAGACCCAGAGCTGGGAGGGGCTGGGATGGCAGCCAGCCAACCGTCTGGGGGCCTCAGAGGTCAGAGGTCAGAAGGGGAAGCCCAGGACCTCTAGAAGCTCAGGGTGAGAAGACCACCTGCACATTTGCTCCAAATTTTAGAGTAAGGTAGAGAGTAGGGGAGGCCCTGTGCTGGCAGGGAGTCCCTAAGGTCACATAGTGGAGGCCCCTCCACGCAACCAAGCAGCCCCAGCACTCCCACCTTGAGATCTGTATTCAGGATCCAGATGAAGGTGCAGACTCGGGGGTTACTGGTCGACTTGAGCACGATGAAGCCCCCAGGACCATTCTCTCCCCTAACGAGAGAGCAACCATTGAGGGGAGCTGGGGACCAGACAAGGCTCCTGACCCCTCCCAATCATCTGGGATGGGAGGTGGAAGAGGGATGGGAGGTGGAAGAGCTGCCGTGCTGGCCTAGGACCCAACGCCTGCCCGAGCAGGGCCCAGACGGGTGACCCATGGGCCACAGGATGCAGTCTTCCACCCCCAGTCACCATGTGATGCTTGAGTCCTCCTACGACAGCCGGAGATGTTTGCACAACCCCAGTGGTAGGGAGCACCACCTTCCCCTCAGCCGCTCTGCCAGGGACTCACGGGTCAGCCCGGGTTGTGGGCCTGAGCTGGGCAGATGCAGCCACCTCCACCCAAGCCGGGGAGCAGTGCAGCGCTGGTGGACTCCAGGAGGGGGCGCCTCACAGGAGGCAGTAGGGCCTGGGCTGTCTGAGTCACAAGCCATGGCCATTTAACTTGGCCAGGACTCCACTGAGCACCCTAAATCCACTTCCTAGATAAGGAAGTTAGCACCGGAGAGAAAAGAGCTTGCCCTTCACCCAGCAAGTCTGGTGGTGCTGAGCCCAGAGCCCCACGCAAGAGCAGAGCTCTGTGCAGAACTGCAGAAGGAAGAGCAGAGCGTGCGGGAGGAGGCAGCCTGCAGCCCTGCACCCTAAGATTAGACAGCAGGCAGTAGGCAGCCCGAAAGTTCCTCTCCTTGGGGGACTTCTGAGTGCTCCAGGAGAAAGACAGGCAAGGTGATGGGGAGAGAAGAGTGAAAGGGACCAGTCTCCTCAGGCAGGCAAAGCTCCAGACTCAACTCCCAGCCTCCATCCCCAGCCCAGGCCCTCCCTGGGGCGGCCCCCCAGCCTGATGGCGCTTCTGGCCATTATTCCCCAGCCTCTGGCAGACAAAGCAGCAGTTTTGCAGAATTAGGGGCTGGGAAGGGCAAAGCCCAGCAGGAGTGGGGACAGGGAGGCGGCCTGGTCAGGAGAATACACTCAGCTGTATGCACTGGACCCGGCCCTGTTCTCACGGCCAGCAGGGGAGGGGCCGGCAGGGATGCCATGGGCAAGGAGAGGCTCACCTGACATATTTGTGTGATGGGGGCTTGGCACAGTGGGTGGTGGCGATGCCTGATGACAGGTATCGATCCCTGCGCCTCTCGATGCGTCGGACATTCACGAAGTCCCTGGGTGAGGAAGGGTTAGATCAGGGGGTGCAAGCCTGAGGTCCAAGGGCAGGGGGCCTGCTGAGGAGGAGGGAGCTTGCAGTACCCACCTGGGGGAGACAACACCGCCTGCAGCCCCCGCAGACACATCATAAGAGATGAGAGTGTTGTCTTCTACTCGCTGCAGAATCTGTGGCCGTCAGGGAGACATGAGGTGGTGCCCACCCCAGGAACACTCCAGGGACAAGGTCCCAGCACCCCAAGAAATCTCCAGGTCACCCTCCTGTCTACACAGGTCCCTTTACTAAGACCCATTCCCATCAACAGGCTCTGCACCGGGCACCCTACAAATGCCCCCCTTCCCACCTTCTGCCTCACTCTAGGAGCTACACTGTGAGCATCACCCCCATTATACAGATGGGGACGCTGAGACAGAGCAGTTCAACCTGGGTCCCTGGGGGTAAGTGGTCATGCTGATCCTCTATACGGCTCTGCCTCTGCCCGGAGAGGTGGCCAGCAGGGCCCGGCCTGCTCACCTGGCAGGCGGTCACCGTCTTGTTCCACAGCACCATCCTCTCGGGCTGCAGGATCACCTCCTGGTACACCAGCTCCGCAGGGCAGGTCAGGAAGGTCTGGGCGGTGGATGGGAGGTTGGGTGGTGCCAGGCACCAGCTCGCCCCTCCCGATGGGCAACCTGCCAGAGGCCTCTTCCAGGAGTCCCCGATAGAGCGTGAGGCTCCGGGACACTCGCCTCCCTCACTCACCTTCAGGATGTACGTCTTGCCATGAAAGGGAACCTCGATGGTGTACACAGTGTCCCCATATTCCTGTGGAGGGACAGGAGCGTGGCAAGGAGGCAGGCACGTGGCAGGGGGAGGGCGTGGGGGGGTGGGCTGGTGGCGCAGGAGTGGGTGACAGGCAGGGCAGGTTTTTAACAGCTCAGGGTAGAAAACTTCAGGAGTTTGGGGATGTGTGCACAGCCGCTGAAGGACAGTGTGCGCCAAGGAGAGAAAGGCTTCGGGTATCAAGTTTAAAGGCAGGAGCACAGCTGTGGCCGCAACCTGGGGAGTGTGTCCCCCGAGCCCAGGAGGCTGCCAGAGGCACAGGCCAGAAAATGAAGGTACGAGCAGGCCTCCCCTCTACTTTCCAAGCTCGCTGCAATCTTTTCAGATAATGTTGTTTTGATCATGAAACAAAACACCGGACACGGGGCAGAAGCTTGGCTTCCCCTTCAAAGCTTGGAGCCAGGGAGCCGAGCAGCAGGGTGGTGAGGATTGGGGGGGGGGAGGGGGGAGTAGGGGGAGGGGCAGTGCAAACAGTCAATCCAGCCCCGCCTCCTGCAAGAGGCCAACCCCAGGCCCCTCTCCTGGGGCAAGAAGGCAGTTCAGACTCATACAGCCCTTGAGCTATTTGTCAGGCCTCAGAAAAGGGAGCAAAAACTCCTAACACGTGGGTGGGTAAGACGGTAGAGAGGTTTCTTACGTTATTCTTCTCGAACTTCCAGTTCTCCTCCTGGGCCAAGATCTGGTCCACCACCGCCGTGGCCTCTTTGCCCTGGCGGATGTACTCACGATCCTGACCAGGGATGGGAAGCAGGAAGGGGTCAGTCTGGGGCCTGCACCCCACCTTGTTCCCGGCCCATTCTTTCCCTAGATACTCCACGCCCCTCTCAGACAAGCCTAACCCAGCCAGCTCGGACTCCAGGCTGGACTCCTGGGCCCTGCAGGGTGCCTGGGGCCAGAACTACAGCTTGGAGGCTCCCTGTGCGTCGGCATGAAGCCGACCAGAGACTGACTGGCAGGGTGGATGCTCAGATGGGCACTGATGGGCATTCAGGTGGCCTGAGGTCTACCTGCCCACCCTGGCCGAGCCCAGCACCGGCCCTTCCCCTGAGTGCTCACTCTAGTAGGATGGGGGTGGGCAGCCAAATACCTGGGCAGAGAAGCTCTTCTTCCCAACTTCTTCATCTGATTCATTATCAGACCCTGCAGAAAACAAGCAGGGATGACAATGGGAAGGGGCGGGAGAGTGTGGGGAGGCAGAGGGGTTCGGGTTCGTGAGTGCAAGGATGTGGGGGGAGAAGTGTGTGTGGGAGAGGGTTGCTGGCTTTCCCCAGGGAGCTGATAGAAGAACAGAAAGAACAGGCCCAGCCTACCCAGCTCCTCATAGAGCCCCTCCCTGAGGCAGCTTCCCCCACCATCAGCCCTCACCTGCAAAGGATTCGGGGGGTGAATAGAACTGGCCCTCGGACAGAGCACCAGGGAAGAGCAGAGGTCCTCGGGCAACAGCGGCCTGGGCAGCAAGATACCCTGGGGGAGCAGACACAGGAAGTTGCTGTCCCAAATCGAGGACAGCACGTTCCAGCACCCCCCACCCCAGGTCAATTGCTCAGAACTGCCTCGAAACTGATCCTTGTGCCCAAAACTCTCGTCTCTTGGGGCTGGGCTGGCCCTCACTATACCCCCTTGTGCCCCAGCACTCACATCGCTCCTCCTCGGCCTCTTGGGGTAGGACTTTGAAGTCAAGGAACCAGGTCTCCAACCAGGCAAGGACAAAGGAGACGATGGGGAGCAGGTAGCCAAATGCCCCTTTGGTGAGCAGCTGTGGAAGTAGAGGGCTAAGCGCCATGGCAGGAGGGTCGCCCAGCCCAATGCCCCCTCCTCAGGCTACTAGCTCTGGCATACACCCCACTCCTGGCACCAGCTGTTTGGGGACCCTCGGAGACACATGGCTCTAAGATGGATTAATGAATTCTACAGCACGATAAATTCTGTTCTTGGGGTTACAGGGAGTAAGTGGGAGAAAGCAGTGAAAGGATTCCTCGGAACTATCAAAAGAAAGCCCTCTCCCTCACCCCTCCCGACAACAGGGACAGACACCCAACAAAGAACGCTCCCTTAGGAGAGGCCCAGCCCTCAGGCCTGATGCCCACCAGACCGGCAGACCTGAGCCACTGACCTCAGATAGGATGACCTTGACAATGAGGAACGCACTGGACACCAGCGTGGTGACCTGCGCAGGAGGGAAAGCGGTAGAGAGGGAGAACAGAGGCTGGGGCGTGAGTCCTCCTCCATCCCATCCCCTGCGCCAGCCCTGCCAGGCCCAACAGGCTGCCAGGAGAGTGGCATCTTACCGCAATCACCCACCAGTGCCGGAGCCGCAGCAGAGCATAGCCCAGGAGCAGCCCCGAAAAGCGGAAGAAGGCCAGGACCTGGGGGTGGGGAGCGTCGAAGATGGGCCAACGCCCTGTCCCCCTGCTGCAGGCTGACCTCTCCCCGTCCCTCAGCACCCCCCAGTGCCTGACTGGGGAGATGGCTGAGTCAGTGTTTCTTTGGGGGTGATTTGGATTTCCCCTCCTCAGATAGGGTCCTTTCTCCCCACCCCACTGGGGTGCTCTGCAGATGGGGCCTCTTTAGGCACCTCTGAAGACTGGGGGGCACCCTGAGAATGGGAACCAAGTCTCCCTGACCAGACACAATGTGTGTTGCAGAAAGAACTGTCAGCCCTGCTTCCTCTCTCCCCCCAGTGCCCTCCCAGGGTCCCGTGAGGCCACTTACAAAGATGTCAAAGAAGGAAGTTCTAAAGCGGTAGTGGATGATCTCCTCTTCCAAGTTCTTCCGAATGCCTGTGTTAGTCTGGAAAAGGAAAGCACAGGAACAGCGCTCAGGTAGAACCAAGTCCCAGGGGCTGCCCCTTGCCTTCTGGAATGGGGAGCAGGTAGGGGAGAATGTGGAACTTGGAGGAGAGACTGGAAATGCTAAGCTACTGCCCAAGGAGGCCCCCAAAGCACCAAGGAAAGCAGGCAGGGGCCTGAGACCCCAGGCACAGTGTGGTTCCTCTGTGGGTCCACAGCCCAGAGGCAGGCTGGGCTCCAGCACCCAGGCTCGTGGGCACCCTGCCCAGGAAGGTCTAGGCATGAAGGAGCCTCGGTTGGTGCAGATAGGTAGGGCTGGCAGACAGTGTGCTGGGAGCCTGCTCTCACATGATTTCTTCTCCCTCCCACTACTGCAGTGTTCTATCTTCCCGGCCAACCATCCATCTGGGGTGAGAAGGGCTAGGGGTGGGCAGCGGTGTCAAACAGAGCCTCAAGTGGCAAATCAATCGATTAGGTTTATGCTTAATGGACAGAATCCATCATGCTGCTGGAGAGGATGGTGTAGTGGACAGTAAACAGATATGTCCTTGCCTTTGTCCCCACCCCAGACACCCACGATTTTTTACAGGGATCCCTGAGACCTTGGCCTGTACTCCAATGTCCAGGGATCTGGAAAGCGAGGGGGCCTAGATGGACACTGAGAACCAGACTGCAGCCTGACTCCTCAGGAGGAATGGGGTAGCAGGCCTAGGCTTCTGCAGGTGGGGTGCCAGTACCCCTAAACAAGGGAGGACACAAGGGAACCCCAAGAAGAAAGACCTGTCACAACCAACTAGACTGGAGCTTCCAATTTCTAGCAGATGATCCAAATTTGGTGGGGAGGGGATTGAAGATAAGAGTGTGGATCTCAGGTGAGCTGAGTATCTGGAGTTTATATAAAGCTTCCAGAAGATTCTGATGCTCAGGGCAGGAGCCAGCAGTATGGACAGCATCTTCCCTGACACTCAAGCTCCCCTGCATTCCCCTCTGTGTGCCTCTATCTCAAAACTACACTGAGCCCCACAAGTCTGATAACCCTACCCCCGCTGTGGCGTGACACCCACCGCAGGCCAGCTCGCCTCTCCACTTACCCCCAGATGGCTACCTCTGGGCTCTGCAGCCCTTCCCGCCCTTCCCACCCTTCAGCAAAGGCAGTCATCTCCATCCTCTGCTCTTTTGTCCTTACAGAGAACTCTCCCACCTCCTGCACTGGCTGCCTCAGGGCTCAGAGCAGCAAGTTCTGCTCCCAGCTTTGCCAGGCTCTGCTGGGGTCCTTGTCTCCACAGGACAAAACACAGTCTGGTAAACAACTAAAATTATATATGCTCCAAACTATAAAAATGAAACTGTAGGGCCTCCCTGGTGGCGCAAGGGGTTAAGCACTACACTCTGAAGCAATCCACAGCCTCTGCAGCACGAGTTCAATCCCCGGCCGGCCAAAGAGAAAGCCACATGGCGAAGCAGACCTCGCCTGTCTCGCCTGCTGCTCCCCTCAGCAATGTATTTCAGTCTGCCTGTTCTGTTCCCCACTCTGTCTCTGGTGAATCCTCTCACCCCCCGCATCTCTGGCCTGTACCCCAGCTCTTGTATGCATAAATAAATAAATCTTAAAAAAAAAAAAATGAGGGCCTCCCCGGTGGCACAGCAGGTTGAATGCAGAGCTGTGAAACTGTCCACAGCTTCTGCATAGCCGGTTCGATTTCCGCACAGCTGGGGAGATTCCCACATGGTGCGACAGACCTCTCCTGTCTCGCCCGCTGCTCCCCTCAGCAGTGTATTTCGGTCCTTCTGCCTGTTCTGCTCCCTGCTCTGTCTCTGGTGGATTCTCTCACCCTCCCACCTCTGAGTGCTTGTATAAATAAATACATCTTTAAAAATAAATAAATAAATTTTAAAAAATGAAACTGTAAACTTGAAAATTAATAAAAATTTTCAAAATGTAATTGTCTGCCAAGTAAAACATTGTACTAACTCTACCAATTATCGACTAATTGTCTACCAAGTGAAATATTACACTACTAACTATGAAATCCTGCATTCTGAAGCTTTGCGTTACATGTGAGAGCAATGTGGAGGTCGGCTGTTCTTGCTGGGCAAGAATCCCCAAGTATGTGTGTGACTCTGAGCTACTACAGCCAGTTCAGCCAGGTAATTTCAGAAATAAAATAATCAAAATTTTTTCACTGGGGCCTCCCTGGTGGCCTAGGGGTTAAGTATTAGCACTATCACCGCAAAGGTCTGAGTTCAATCCCTAGCCAGGGAGCTGACCCAGCCAGGGAGCAGCAGCCCTCTCCTGTCTCCCTGCTGCTCCCCTCAGCAGTGTATTTCTGTACATCTGCCTGTTCTGCTCCCTACTCTGTCTCTGATGAATCCTTTCACCCCCACACCTCTGGCTTATACCCCAGTTCTTCTACACAAAATAAATAAAATAAAAAAACTTACAATAAAGGAATAATTCTTTACAAATTTTTTTTCCACTTTTTTTTTTTAAAGATTTATTTATTTATTATTTATACAGGCACTGGGTACAGTCAGAAGCGCGGAAGGGTGAGAGAATTCACCAGAGCCAGAGCGGGGAGCAGAGCAGGCAGAAGGACCGAAGTACACTGCTGAGGGGAGCAGCGGGCGGCAGGAGAGGTCTGTGCACCATGTGGGACCCTCCTCTGGTGGCCGGGGAGCAGCCGGGGATTGAACCGGCACTGCAGAGGCTGCGGGCAGCTTTGCAACCCAGCGCTTAAGCGCTGCGCCACCAGGGAGGCCCTTTTCCACTTCTTTTCTGGTAAGAAAATATGTGTTGAATAAGGGATGTGGGTGACATTTAGTGCCTGCTTTGATGTTGGATGGGATCTTCAAAAGGAAGAAGGCCTGGGCCTCCCCGGTGGCGCAGCGGTTGAGCGCTGGGTTGCGAAGCTGCCCGCAGCCTCTGCGGCGCCGGTTCGATCCCCGGCTGCTCCCCGGCCACCGGAGGAGGGTCCCACATGGCACGCAGACCTCTCCTGCTGCCCGCTGCTCCCCTCAGCAGTGTACTTCGGTCCTTCTGCCTGCTCTGCTCCCCGCTCTGGCTCTGGTGAATTCTCTCACCCTCCCGCGCTTCTGACTGTACCCAGTGCTTGTATAAATAAACAAAAAATAAATCTTTAAAAAAAAAAGGAAGAAGGCCTGAGACCTTGGGAGCTCTCCTAAGGGCCTGACACTTGCTGGGTCTCAACTTTTTCATCAATAAGGTGACCTGAAGATGATCCCAGCGGCCAGGACTCCATCTCACTGAAGGTTCAGCTCAGCCTCAGGGCACAAAGGACAGTCACCCTCAGAGTTCAGCCTCACTTCTGGCCCAACATGCCCAGACCAGTGTATCCTCTTCACCCTGACACCGGCCCTCTCTGCCAACTCCTCACTCCTTTCAACAAAGGCATCATCTTCCAATCAGACCTGGACGAAGGGCACCTGCCACCCAGAACTCTGCCCCACTTTGCAGGAGGAGAATGAGGGAGCGGAGTCTCTTCCTGAAGCTACACAGTAAATATGGAGGAGGAGCTGGGACTGACTGAACCTGGGTGCCCGGCTCTAGGGGCCCTGCCTGTGCTCAGGCCCTGCTCTGCCCTGTCAGTGACTGCAGATCACGTGCCACTGCCAGCTGGCAAAGCTCTGAAGGGGGATGAGGGTGCGAACCCTGCACTGAGAGGCAGCTCTGTCTCCAGGCTGCTAGGCAACATCCTACCAAACCCTGAGAGTCAACTGGGGGGTACTGGAAGTGTCTTATACGGGGAGGGAGAGCTGGGAGCCAGTGGGAACTGGGAGTTTTCATTGCTTTGATCCCTACTGTATCCTCTGCTTTTAGCACAATGCCCAGGACACAGTAGGGCTTCAAAAAATGTTAGATGAGGGCCTCCCCGGTGGCGCAGCGGTTGATCTCTGGGCTGCGAAGCTGCCTATAGCCTCCGCAGCACCGGTTCGATCCCCAGCCACGGGCGAGGGTCCCACATGGTACGCAGACCTCTCCTGCCTGCACCCACTGCTCCCCTCAGCAGTGTATTTCATCAACCTGTCTGTTCTGCTCCCCACTCTGGCTCTGGTGAATTCTCTCACACTCCTGTGCTTCTGACTGTGCCCAGTGCTTGTATAAATAAATAAATAAATAATTAAATAAATCTTAAAAAAAAAAAAAATGTTAGATGAGTGAATGAATGGGCCAGAAAGCAATGCAGGGCAGAAAGAAGACAAAGATTTCAATAGCTCAACCAGAGCCCACGGGCCCCGCCTCTCTCAAGAGTGTCCACTAGGGGGCAGTGTGGCCAGCAGTCAGGAGAGCTCTGGAGCCAGAGGGTCTGGGGTCAAACCCTGCCTCCTCCACCTGCTTGCTCAGTGAGACTTTGAACAAATAACCCAGTCTGCCTGAGCTCCATTTTCCTCATCTGGAAGATGACAACCACCCCACTGGCGAGGGAGCAAGGCAGATGGAGTAACTGAGGCCCAGGTGACGGCCCCCTCGCCAGGAGGCCTCACTCACGTTCAGCTCGATGATCCAGAGCAGGGAGATGAAGAGCAAGTCGAAGGTGACGAAGAGGCAGAAGGTGCGGCGGACATCGGAGATGGCGCGGCGCGTCTCGGGAGGCGGCAGAAGGAAGTGTGAGGAGAGGCTCTGGCTGTGGGACAGGGAGGAGCTGAGGGAGGCCACAGCCGGCAGGCTGCGCTCCAAGTCTCGGGTCAGCTCCCCCGACAGCTTGTTCATTCTGGTGGCCCCCACAGCAAGGCGGGGAGGGTGTGGCCTCAGCGGAGGGGCTGTGGGGAGACAAGAGGGCTGTGAGGTCAGGGCCTGTAGGTCCCGAGAACCCCAATTCCTCACACTCAGCCCCTTGGGACCCCATTTGCTCCCAGACACATCAGCTCGCATCCCTGTCCCAACCCCACAGCTCAGAAGTGTGCTCTCTGCCCCAGTCCCTTCCAGTGACTCAGGCTGTGGGGTCCAGCATCCCTGTCCAGCTGTCCCCCTTACCCACCCCACCGCCTAAAGCCCAGAGGCCCCAGGTTCACCAGGGAGACATGGGTGCTCCCCGATGCCTGGGGGCACAGTCTGCTCCCTGCCAACCCCAGCCCAGGGGAGTTCAGCCTCTGGTCCAGTCAACAGCCTCTCAGCCTGCCCCCACCCCCAAGAGAAGAGGGCCCCAAGCTCTGTTCTTTGTTTTTCAAGCACAAAGCCACATTCCCTCCCAGCAACCAGCCCTACCCTCCCACCCCCTTAATCCATGGCAACTGGGAGGGACTTCCCAGAGCAGTGTCTGAGAGTTTGCGCTGGGACAGTGGTATAAAGAGAGGATAGCTGGGTCCCTTCTCTCTAGATACCCCACCCCACCACACCCCCATTACCCGAGATGCTGCCTCTCTCACCCTGCAACAACAGCTTCTCCACACAACAGTCAGAGAAAGAGTTTCAAAACATAAATCACATCCTGCCATTCCTGCTCACAACACCCCAAAGCCGCCCACCCACTGGTCCTAGTGTTACAGGGCAGGGAGAGGGGCAGCCCAAGCCCCGCAAACCTGCCTATTCTAAATGGGTTCTGCCATCCGCCGCATCAACACAAAACATAGGAGACTTTAATGGGAAGGAACTTTAATTAGGAAACAATACAGGAAAGGCAAAGAGTCTAGTTTCTAAATGAAGCACCCAAAGTTACCCGTCCCCTCGTGGGTAAAAGTCCATCCATATGGTATCGGCCCAATGCAAGGCCCCAAAGCCTGCTACAAGTCTAAAGCATCTTCCAGTGGGGACCCACAGAAAAGGGTCACAAACAACTGGACAAGCCCGGAAGGAAAAGAGCAAAATCAACATCAAGATAACACTAGGACAACAGCACTCCCTCCGGGTGTCCTTACCAGAGGCCCACGGGTATGGCACTGCCCGGCTCTTTCCACAGCTCCTCTGAGGAGGCGTACCCCTCTTAGCAGCCCGGGCCTTCCTCTTCCTCAAGTCCCTAAATGCAGCAGCCTGGTCAGACCCAGCCCTCTGGACTGAGTGGAACGCTCTCCCTGCCTTTTCAAAGGGCAGTTCCATAGTCCCCTCCACGGAGACTTCTGCCCTCCTGTCCTATCAGAACCAGATTCTATGATCGGGCTTTGCTTTCTGCAGGGAACTCAGCAGCATCTGAAGTTCTCTTATTTATTGTTCTGTGCGGCCCACCCCCACTCCCCCCAGTGTAGGGCCTTCATCTGACCTGGTCACGGCTCTCTCCCAGCACCAAGCACAATGCCTGGCACCTAGTAGGTGCTGAGTAATTGCCCCGAGGCCCTCAGCTCTGTATTAGGCAGCAGAGGGGCAGGGTAAACCCTAATGAGAGTAAGAACTGGCCAGGCCCAGATCCCCACTGCTCACAGAGCAGCAAGCCCGAGGCCTTGTGTCAGGTCCACACGGGCAGGGACGGCTCCTCCTGTTTTACAGATAACACTCCACTGACTCCGGGCTCAGGTCAGCAAATGGACTTAACCATCCCTTAACTGCCTGAGACAACCATGGGGCTGAAATTTTCATGAACCCAAAGATAAGGAGGCCCTGGGCCACCCCCACTGCCATGCAGGGCCCCACTGAAGGTCTCTGCTCCACTAGTTTGCAGACAACAGGCCCAAAGAGGCCCTGTTCCCCGGAGGGTCCAGTCCAGAGCCAGAGAGGTGCTGACTCAGCACAGGGGAAGTGGGGCCTGAGCTTCTAGGCTCCATCAAGAGTCTCTCTGAGTCCTCCCAGATTTGGGGGCCAGTGGAAGGGAAGCCCTAGATGTCTGTCTCCAATCCCAGAAAAGTCAAGGTCTAACCATTCCCCCCTTCTACCTCGCTCGCCGTCCCCTCCATACCTTTGCTGTGTCAACTACGTTCCAGAGCCCCCTTCAAGCTCAAGCCCCCTTCAAGCTCCGAGGTCCAAAATAAACCCCCAGTTGGGTCCAGCAGGAGATTCTGGACAAGCCAGCTTGTCCATCCCTCTGCCTCTGTGCAGGCCCCCATGGATAGGAGCCGACTGTTCTTAGAAGAGGCACCAGCCCAAGGCCACCCCCCCAATACCACATTCTCAGGACCCCCATGAAAAGCTGATCCGGAAGGTATTGAAGGAAAGCTAGCCGAGTTCTGGAAGGAGGCACTCAGAAGGGCTGTGACAGCCGTCGGCAGCAGGACCCCACAACACCCCTCAACTGGACCCGGTGCAGACGGCACACCCAGCGCATCCCTGTGTGGCAGGGGCAGCTCCAGGCCGCTGACATTTCTGTCTGATGGCCTCTTGTCTCCTGCCAGCCTGTCCCCACCTCTCCTCTTTTCTGTCTCTTTCTTTCCTACGGAAGGGTCCTGTGCCCTGCGCCACGTCTGGCTCTGGGTCTCGCCTCTCCCTCTCTCCCATTTGTGAGTGTCCTGCCCCATCACCTCTGCCTGCTCCATTCCCCCTGCTTCTCTCTCCCTCTTTCCCCATGTGCAGGGCCCTGTGCCGCCTTCCTCCCAGTCTGCTCCATGTCTGTCTGTCCCTCCAACTTGCTCCCTCCCTCCCTGGGGACAACACTTGGGTGGCAGCAGCTTGGGTGTGAGACGCACTTGGAGTGGCAATGGCACCAACACTCACACACCCAGACATCCCTGTTGAGGCGAGAGACACAGATGGGGGCTGAGAGCAGAGGTGTTGGGGAGCCTGGAGAGCTGCAGACATGGGGTGTACAGGAGTCAAGCACGGGCAGGGGGGAGGTTCTGAAGCAGGGGTGGGGCGACTGGCCAAGAGTCACAGGGGGCTGGCCACAGGGGAGGCGCCTCTTGTGCCCTCCCTGGGAAGCAGCGAGAGCTTCTAGAGAAGGAGCAGCGGTGGGGAGTCACGAGACCGAGACCGGAGGCCAGACTGGGCAGGGGCTCCGAGACTCTGGCCAGTCCTCACCCAGCCTCTGTTTTTCTACCTGGGAAAGACGTCAGTGGTTTTACAAAATCCCCCTTTTCAAGAAAGGGGCGCTTAAGAGAAAGTAAAACCTTCCATGGAGCCGAGAAAACACACGCAGGAGCCGGGGAGCTGGCGCAGAAGCCGGCAGCCTTCCTGCAACTCCAGGGTCGCCAGGGCACTTCCTTGCGTGCTCCACACCACTGCTCACTCATCCGACTCCAGGGGCCTGGCACTGCCCCAGAGCACAGCACTTGTTCTCGGCCCGGAGGGTGCAGGGGGCGGCTGCCGGCAGAACAGCAAGGCCTGGCGCCCACCCTCCCTCCCGAGATGAGGGGAGGCGGAGGGGTGTTGGAGGCTGGAGACAGCAGGGCCGCCACCAACCCCCTGGGAGCAGCACCCCCATGCCAAGCCACTGCCTGCTGTCACCAGCCCCCCCCCCCAAGTGCCTTCAGAGGTGTCGGGAGTGGCACGGCGCGTGTGGCGTGAAGGAGTCCGCCATCGCTGGGATGGCTGCAGACTTGACACCCATGTGTTTGTGAAAGCCGAGCTGCTAAGGCTGGGGAGAGTGGGAGGGAGGGAAGGAATTAGTGGTGTTACCACCCCAAGTCGGAAGGAAAGCGGGGGCAGGCGGCTATCAAGTTACCTCAGCTCTTGAGGCAGCGGGGTGCCGGGGCAAGCGGGCAAGCGTCCTCACACCCTCTCCCAGGGCCCAGGAGAGTGGCGGCAGGTGGCCGGATTCAGGGTGGGCAAGAGGAGGCAACAGATCCGGGGGAGAGACTCGAGTCTCGGCTCAAATCTAAGTCTGCCCTCACTAGCAGCGGGTTCTGGGCCACAGAGAACCACTTTGAGATCTGTTTTTCTTTGATGCATTTAAACAAAGGCAACAATACACCAAATGCCACAGAACTGTACACATGCAAATGGCTGAAATGGTACATTTCATGTGCTGTCTGACCACAGGAAAACAGGCAAGGATAACCGCTTCCCCCTAGGGCTAGTGTTGATGTAAGTGTCAGGAGGAAGTTTGCGGGTGCTGGGTCCGTGGTGGTTGAGATTGAACAAGTAGGTGGCGAAGCAGGTCAGGTGAGAGGAAAATGAAGTGGAGGCAGGGGTGGGGGTGCACAGTGGTGTATAATAAAATCATCCCCAAAGGCCTGGGTTCAGATCTGAGTGCTATGATTCACCCGGAGTGTCCCAGCTACTCTCCGAGCCTTCAGGTCGGTTCCTCTCTGAGCCTTCAGGTCGGTTCCTCTCTCTATAGAAAAGGCCAAGTGGTTCCAGCACCATGCAAAGGTGAATTCCCAGGCTGCAATGGGCACAGGAAGGGGGGCAGCTGTCCTGGCTCTCTGCACAGACTTTTGGTGGATGCTGGGACTGACCTCTGATACTACCCCTTCCCACGGACGCCCAGGCCCCACTGCAGTGGGGATCCAGTCCCCACTTTCAGCCACCCCCAGTTCCCAACTGCCACAGCTCTTAGGGGTCAGGGTATAGCCCTCAGTGACACTCCAAACCAGAAGCTCTAGTCACCCCTCTGCAGCTCCCAGGAGGCATTTCCTGGCCAAGACAAGCCCACAACTGAACAATACCACTCACTGGCCATGAAAGTCAGAGGCTGCTTCTGGAAATCAGGGATACCTGACCCTGGGTGGTCTGGGGTGTCAAAGTGATGCCCACAACAGCTTTGGAATAGTGCCTGGCCCTCCAGTAATCTCTGCCACTGAGTCTTCTCACCCTGTCCCACCTCTCAGCAGGCCTGGTCCACCAACTGCACTGGGACCCTGGGCCTGGGGGAGCCAGAAATGAGCCTCATTTCTGGGCAGTATGGCTGCTCCAGACCCTCTCCCTAGGCTGAGCGGGAAGGCCTTGCCCTACCACTGGA